ACACTGTTTTATTTGAAACCAATTCAATTCAATGAAATACTATTTTTAAAATATTTATAACAGTACGGTCAGGTTTAACATTATGTTTACCACGTCCAACCTCAGAACTAGCTGCAAAGACCCCCAAGACCACATTACAAGTTGCTATTGTATACGGAACCGTAGCAACAATAAAATAGCACACGCTCAGCATCTGGAAGTGAAAGGATTTTGTAGCACCTGCATCAGAGAGGCTCAGTTTCCTGATTTGCCCATACACCCCCTCATCCCCTCTTGCCTTAAGCCCAACTTGCGTCCTCGTCCCTCTGACTTTACCTCCTCCCCTCTGCAGTACGTGTGGTTTTCTTTCCACAGCACGCTGCCCACCCACGGCACGCTATGGAGTATACTATCATCTGGGGAAAGGAAAGCTGTTCTTTTCACTGGTTTTGAGTTCAATGGATGCTAATTTATTGGCCACTCTGTGCATGCGAAAGAGAGCAAGTCATGTTCACATTGCAGCACTTCCATAAGCAATGCTATCAATTTAAGTCTATCGCTTCTGCCAGTCAATTTTTTTTATCATAGAATGGTTTAGGTTGGAAGACACCTTAAAGACCATCAAGTTCCAACTCCCCTGCCATGGGCAGGGACACCTCCCACTAGACCAGGTTGCTCAAAGCCCCATCCACCCTTGCCTTGAACCAGGGATGGGGCATCCACAGCTTCCCTGGGCAACCTGTTCCAGTGTCTCACCACCCTCAGAGTAAAGATTTTCTTCCTAATATCTAATCTAAATCTACCCTCTTTCAGTGTAAAACTGTTACCGCTCATCCTATTGCTACACTCCCTGATAAAGAGTCCTTCCCCAGCTCTCCTGTAGGCCCCCTTTAGGTACTGGAAGGCCGCAATAAGGTCTCTCTGGAGCCTTCTCTTCTCCAGGCTGAGCAACCCCAACTCTCTCAGCCTCTCCTCATAGGAGAGGTGCTCCAGCCCTCTCATCATCTTTGTGGCCCTCCTCTGGACCTGCTCCAACAGGTCCATGTCCTTCTTACGTTGGGGGCCCCAGAGCTGGATGCAGTACTCCAGGTGGGATCTCCCCTTACGCATTTTCATTAAGCACCTCTCGTTGCTTATCTCACAGCTCACTTAGGGATCAGGTGGTTTCTGACTTGTTTATTTCTGTCTCTTCCCCTCCTGTTCTTGTGACTGCTCTGCGGCAGAACAGGCAGAAGAACCATCTTTTGATTCTCCCTCCTGCTCTCAGGAGAAGCTTCTTCCTCCCTTACTAAACGAGCTGACTTCTGCTTCCATCGTTTCTTCTTCGCCCCAACTATCAGGGTGACTGATACAGTTAAGGGTCGGGTCTCTGGTTCAGCCAGGGCTGTTCGTATGTCTTCAGATCCAGAGACCCTCTCTGCCCCTTGAGGGTGCTGAGTAGCGCTTAGCAGACATACACCAGGCCCCAGCACAAGGTGACAAGTTGTGTCTCTGGCATAGCCAGGGCACCCTTTTTTTAAAACACTCTATCACACATCAAGATCCTGCAGCTGTTCGGGGTGAAGTCCCTGACCATCAGAGATGACGACCCTTCTAGGTACCTGCCCGTACTCTCCCACATGCCTTGCCACCCATAGCCATACTGCCCTGGGACATATCCCTACGTGATATTCCTAAATAGTTGGTTACCCTTAGGAAAAGCTGGAAACATATTCTTGAAAACACATTAATAGGAGTATTTTGGCCACCCAAGGATGTCCAAGGTACTCAAGAGTTATTGTAAAAAGGGAGAGACATCATCTACCCTGCAGGAAAAGAAGGGGAAGGTGCCATTCTTCATTTCATCTGCCGATCAGTTCTTGGAGGAGAAAAGGGGAAAAGTGTAATTGTTAATTGCCTTCATGAGATGGTTCCTGAAGTAAAGGGAAGGCAACAATGCAGGGCCCAAACAGCAGATTAGGCACAAGGCCAATGCTTTTATCGTAGTTCTCCCAGGCAAAACACAACCAAGCATCACACTGCACTGCAAATGGCAAAATTCAAATACAGCCTTTAACAAGCTCTCAAATTCAAGGTACAGAAAAAAAAAACCCAGGGAGCACGACTATGATCAGATAAACTAGTGCCAAGAACAAGTAAATCCACATTGTGATCAGCAACTGTTAAACAGATATAAGTTCCCTCTTAACACACTGTGGTCAAATTTGTTATCTCAAACCCTTCAAGCCCCACACCGAGTGCCAAAAAGGACTGTTGTGGTTTCACTTCACACAACTGCTCGCTCACTCCCCCACAGCGGGGCAGGGGAGAGAATCAGAAGAATAAAAGTAAGGAAACTTGCGGGTTGAAATAAAGACAGTTTAATATGTAAAAAAAAGAAAAGAAAAAAAAAAACCAACCCAAAACCCAAACAAACAAAACCCAAACAAACAAAAAAAAACCCCAAAGAAAAACAAAACCAAGAAAAAAGTGACACAAAAAACCCCAGTTGCTCACCAGTCCCTGAGAGACTGCTGCCCTGCCAAACTTTCTGCACAGTTTTTATGGCTGAGGGCAATGTCACATGTCCCTCTGGTCAGTTGGGGTCCCGGCTGTGTCCCCTGCCAACTCCTTCTGCACCCCCAGGCTGATCGCTGGCGGGGCGGAGTGAAAAGCAGAAAAGACCTTGACGCTGTGCTCAGCAATAGCTAAAACATCCCTGTGTTATCAACACTGTTTTCAGCACAAATCCAAAACACAGCCTATAGGAGCTACTGTGAAGAAAATTAATGTCCCAGCCAAAACCAGTACAGAGCCCAAGTCTTCATAAATAAAATAACCCACATTAGATACTTCATTTGTATGTTGCGGAAGTAACAGCAGAAAAGGGAGGCTGGTACAGAATGAATTATTCAGGAGTTAAAACCCAACAATTATAATCTTAGCATATCTAACACCGAAACAATACATTAGAGGGTGTGTTCTTTCATATAAATGCATCATGTAAGCTTATAAACAAAATGTCTGTAGGTTTAGACCTGAGCACGTGCTAACCATTAATACCTCCCTATATAATCTGATGTCAAAGCTTTGTCAACCACATTTCACTATTTTTCGTAGGCCAAGTTTCAGCAAGTAAGGCCAAGGTTACATGTATATTTTTGTATATATAAATATATGTAGATACATATTCAGTTATGAATACATCCTACATTTATAGGTTGGTTAGCAGATACAACTCTGTCAAATTGAGGGTCAGGTGCAAAAGGTGTTGTCCAGCTGTAGGAAACTGTCAGTTCTGCTCCCAGGGCAAAGGGGAAATTAGAACAAGTGGGGTAATTACAGGAAGCCACTGTGATGTACACAGTTTCTATTAATACATTCATATAGAAATCTTCCCGAATGGCAAAACAACTTTACAGGATATTTTCTCCTAATAATGAAATACCTTTTGAGACTAACTACAGTGGTACATAACCAAGTATTCCATTTCCACAAATGAACAAGAAAGTGAAAGCATATAGGGTGGAGGGGGAGAAAGGGGAGTCTCTTATCACAGCATTATGGGTTCACTGTCTAGGAGTATTTACCTGTTTGGGTTTTTTTTTCCCCCCCTTTTTTTTTTTTAAGTAAAATAATTTTAAACAAACAGGAATTTTGTTTCAGAAACATAATTGGAAAAATCTTTGATAAGTAATGGCAACTTATAAGTTTCATGCTGCGCTACAGAAAATGACAGTAAACCTTATGTCGTCAGGAAAAGATTATTTCTACTGTCCTGTGATGAAAACTTTTGAAGACTTCCTAATATTAATTGTATCACCAAGTAACAACCTTTAGTTACTGTAACATGCTACTTGAGTCAAATGTGATGGATCCAAAACTGATGCCTTAAGTAATAACCTGAATTCCCTTTATTGACAAGGAATATGAAATACACCCTAGAAGTGTCTGCATCTCATCTCGTACTTAAGCTGCAAAAAGCCATTTTTTTTTTAATCAAGTTTTTATCTTTACACAGTCTCACGGACAAATCTAAAATAAAAACCAGAGCACACGGTGAGAAAAGTAACTACTTTTTTCCTTTTAATATAGATGTAGTACAGAATGTTTAATTACAGCAGGACAGTGGTTCCAGTTAAATAAAATTAAAACCCTTCATTTTCCCCAAATATAAAATTACTAAATTAATGTCTTAAAAGAATAAGAATATGGAAAAAGCTTTAAATTATACCACCATTTACCACAGTAACCATGATCACCACTTACATACTCCATTGCTTTGGCAAAAAAGTTTTTTTCTTTTAATAACTGCATATAAACCTAACATAGCAAAGACTGTATACATCTTTATATTGCATTTATTTATATACAGGAATAAATGATCTGTAAAGTCTGCATATACTTGGAAGGAGCAAATTTTCACAATAAACTGAAAGCAGAAGGATAAGAGCTGGTATGGATATTAAAAAATGCTTAGAAATGTAATACATTTATGTACAGACTGTACGGACTGTATTAACAAACAATATGTACATAACAATTTACTACTATTGATATTTTAGTATAACTCAGTGTTCATTAATACAGACCTTTGGTTGTATTTAGTTGTTTAATAAGATCTAAGCTCACATACCTCCAAAATGCAACAAGGTATAAAATAAAGCACAACAATTTGCGAAATGGTACAAAAACTACTATTGTCAGTTCCATTAAACCCAAAAAACTAGTGTCTCTGTCTAGCCCCAAAATAGTTCTTGTACTTGGAATCAATCTCTATGTGCCATACACAAAAAGAACACCTGAATGTTACATATCTGCAAAATTACATCCCACAACACTTTTTTTTTTTGTAATGTGCAATTCATTTTAATAATACTTCCTAACGAACAAGAGAAATTAACTTCAACTTTATAATTTTCCAACACGCAGCTCTGCAATGACATTGTGAATGCTTCTAAATGTTACCAGCAAGATTAAAAAATGTGCGCTCCTTTACTCTAAAAGACTATTACCAGTAACTGCTATTTGCTAAGTGTGCTCAGACATTCGTATGAATTACGCAGTTTGCACGTGCCCAACATTTAGCTTCAAAATCATCCTGAGTTTGCACACAATGAAGCAAATCCACATACTTTAAAAAAAAAAAACCAAACCAAAAAAACAAACGAACATACTTTTCCTTTACAAAACAATCATGCAACTGAAGAAGAACTGGGCATCCCATGAACTGTTGTGCTTGTCGGAGTTCCACTTATGGCGTTGAAAATGTGTAGCGAATTAGGCATAACGCTGGCCTTTTCTTCAACCGGAGTAATCTTAAAATGGAAAACATGGTTTTACCAAAATGTTACATAATGACACAGGCATTTATTAAACAGCTAACCAAATTCATAAAGTGCTGTGCAGCAACTCAACTTTTTAGTACTTTCTCAATGACGCGGAACTTCTTTTGAGGGATGGTTACTCTTTTCAGCCATCCTCTACGAGATTTAGGAGGGCACTAGTTATTACTCCAATATCAGCTCTCCTAATTTAGGTATTATACTGCTCTCTCTAGAGGAAGCTTGAATAGCTGCTCTCATTTCTCTTGTGAACTTTCACAAGGAGTTTCACAGGAACAACAGGGCTTGCTTTTTGCCCTTTTTTGTTTGTTTTCTTTCTTTTTTTTTTTTTTTTTATTTAGAGGTATGATTTGAGCATTTCTTTCCATAAGCTATCAAAGCACAAGAAAGACTTCATTCTTAACAGCTATAAATTTACTGATGCTACGATTAGAAATATTGGGAAAAAGGAAATTATATAAAGATTAGACAAACTAAGAGCAGAAGTAAAGAAAACTAATTACCATCCCATCTGATCATTTTGGCAAGCAACAGAGGAGAAAAAAGAAAAATCTGTTAAGATTCTTTTCTATATTTTTCATAACAAAATTTTTGCAAATGTTTAAAATCCACACTATTATAAGACAGCTAACAGGGTATTTTTCAATGGCATTACAACAAACATTGTGAGAAGCTCTTTTTCCAAATACAGCAATAGGCAGGCATACAAAGGTGATATTTTTAAAGACTGCAGTGAAGAGTGCCTAAGCCCTTCAGGGGAGTGACCCATCTAACTTTAAAAAAAACCCAAAACCAAAACCAAAACACAACCCAACAACATAGCATATTTTACTTATTTACAACTAATTACATTTATATAAAAAGAACACAGTGGTAGGCTAATAGTACACATTACTGCAGTCAGTGCTGTACTTTCATATGCTGTTCACGCTATCTGATAGGTATCCGTTGTTTGCCCCTTCTTCTCTTTGTTTACTTTTAGACAATGTGATTTACTCCTGAAGTTTCAGGCATTACGTGCTTTTTCTTATTGTCAATCTTTGGGAACTCACGTACCTGAGCATTTTTTAAACATACATATCTTGCACTGAGTTCAAAGTATTTTTTTCTTGTGTAGAATCTGTCATTATATCCTTTTACTTTTTCCTATGCCAGGGGAATATTAATCTTTCATTTATTATCCTTATCATTAAATTATTTGACAAAAAATGTTTTCCTCTCTTTTTTGAAGGGGTCTTCTGTACAGCTGTCTAATTCTCCCATATACCTTGTTCATATTAATCAGCTGCCCAATCAGTTATCCTCCTTTCTAAAACCATCCACTGCTTTCTGCTTTTCAATACATCACATCGAAATACAGTCAAACCATCTTATTTTCATCAGCTAAGCAATCTCTTTTCCTGTTCCAGCGATCCTTCAAAACTGTTTTCCTCTACTTGCGTATCTGAAAGATACCGGGTATTATTAAAAAACCCAACACGTGGATTCTGACAAAATGGTGTCACTCCCCACAAACCTTGTTTCACAATAGTCTCTGGTGGTTAAAAAAGTTAGTTTTGTGGTAAGCTTTTGCCTGTGGTAGTATAACAATAGAATAAGAGAATGAAAATAAAGTCTACGCACTTGCTCTATTCTTGTGCTTCACCATAATTATATCATAGCGCAGAGCTACTCATAGCACAGTACTTGAGAAAACTGCATCAGGAAATAAGGGAGAGCATGAAAGTGTGTGAAGTGAACTTCAGACACATGACGCATTTTTGAATAGAAAAAAAAATGCCATAAAAGTTTTGGATACTATCTAAGCAAGGGTAGAACAAAGGCAAATCTTTCGTAGATAAGCCTACAGGTAAGCTGTTATACTGGCAAGCTGACTAGCTTTTTGAGCAAATATTTCTTGGATAATAATAGACTAATTTAGAGATGTCCAAAAATAGTATATGGGTAAAGTCATTGTACCTCTAAAGGATGCAATGCTGAAAAAGAGCTGAAAGAGTAATGGAGCGTTTATATGTCAGCTAGACTGAATGCCTCAGGTAGGTCTCAAGTTTGATTTTTCCTGTACAATTTGATTTCTGAGTAAAGCCTATAGTATGGAAAAGATAAATTCATAGCTCCTTTTTGTATCAATTGGTTATCCAGACTAGGATGCATTGGTTCCTAGACTAGGAAAAGTTGCTATTATGGTCATACATCTAAAGAAGTCTCGTAGACGTGTATTTGTAGGGTAAAATATTATCAGAACACACAGGTATTTCTTGTGGGCCAGAACTACAAGTCTTGATGGTTCAGAACTATGAGCCACTCTATGGCTCTGGGAAAAGATTATACAATAACAGTGGATGAAAGAAAAGGAACCTGAAGCGATGAATAAAAATGTCAAGAAGGCAGGGATCAAGGATGAATCTTCAGCCTTTCCTGTCCTCCTGGAAATACCATCCTTGCCTCTGAAGTCAGGAGACATTTCTACCATAGATCCCAGGTGCAAGGTCCTACATCTCACTCCACGCGAGTTCTGTTTTTCCTTTTCCCATATCTCCAGCTTGTCTGTAGTGGATTCCCCTCAAGAAAGCGTGTTGGAATGCCTCTTGAAAGACATTTAACTCTGTTGCAAAAGTAAATGCCTATATCTCCAACATCTAAAGAAAAAGGGCTAAGCGTGCAGACCAAATCACCCTACAGTTACCAGGAAGTATAAACTAAAATGAACTTTTTGGGTCGCTGAATAGAGACCCCTGTAACTACACATACGAGGTATAAATGACATATATATTCAGGTCATTAAATTTGTTTTATCTTTACTGTAGTCTTCCTCTCCTACAAAAAAACAGGCTGGTGCCGATCAGATTTACTTTCTTAATATGCAAGACTTAATTCTGAAGGTCAAGAAAGCATCTGCAGAAAATTCATAAACAGAAGAAAAAAAAAAAAAAAAGATGAAGTTCTACAATTCCATGACATGCTTGTACTTCAACAGAAAAAGAAAAGAAATAAACAGTCCTTTAGCGTAAAGCATTACATACACTTTTCCTAGTGGGTTCATGTTCAGCTACATTCTGAATGCTGGTAAGCATAATTTAATTTCAGCACGTACTTGTTCATGCATTATTTCAGAAAGCTCTTTTGCCATCTCTCTGTAGTTGGCCTTCATTTCTTCTTGATATTCCAGCTGATCTTCTTTTATAAGTCGTTCATTTACACCGAGAGCATGACCACAAGCTTCAACAAATTGCCTGATTTGGATAAAATAATAATAAAAAAATAGTATCTCAATAAGGAACACAAAATCCAAAAGATTAATTCAAAATGACAGCTTAAAATATGTTTTTAATGCAGTCAGGACACTATCACAGTTAAAAACTTAAAAAAAAATATCTTATGATAACAAATCTTGGGGGAAAAAAAAGCGACTTTTTTTTATTTTCAAAAAACATACCTAAAAACTTCCTTTAGCAGCTTTACTTTATTGTCTGGATATCTTTTGGTGTTTGTGTCATCTAAGAAAGCTCTTGCATATGCTAATGGACCAGCATTAACCTAAAAAGAACAAGATTTATGAAATAAAGTTATTTCTGTCTTTCTGTCACATATTGTCTTAGCAATAACAGGTACTACACGTGTCTGTCTGATTTACTTTTCTTAGGAGAATACATTGGTTTCAAAAAAGCTGGACTTGGGAAATAAGAAAACTGTTGGAGTTGGAACATAAGAGCAGGAGAGGTCTCTACAGCACTGTGTATAACCTGTCCTGACACGTAGAAACCACTTTGATGATACAGCAAAGTAACTGCTGATATTGCTAATGTGTTATTTCTGTTTATGAATTTAGGGTGGGAAAAATGAAGAAAATGAGCTAAATCTACTACTGCTTGGTTTGGTTATCTATTGAAAACATTCTTCCAAGCTGATAATTCTGCAATAATTAGCAGAAATTTAATTGTGCTATTATGGCAGCTACATGAAAAGTGGATTCAACGATTTCTGACTCATCCCTATTATTCTTTTGTATTAACAGTAAGAGCCCCTCCCTTCTCATCCCAAATGCTAGCTTGACAACTTCCTGATTCTGGAACCTTGGTGCTGGTTTGGTTGTTTTTTTTCTTTTCTCTTCAACACGACAACAGTTCATTTCAGATGACTGTGTTTACTGTTGCCTTGATTTGAATGAGCTAAAAACAATAGAGCAACACTTTAGTCATTGCAGTCCTAAGTCCCTTACCATACTCTGTTTATGAATTTAGGGTGGGAAAATGAAGAAAATGAGCTAAATCATTGCAGTCCTAAGTCCCTTACCATATTGATTTGTACATGCTACAACTGCTTTATGTACCCTGTTTTGGTGAATGTGATCATTTCTTTATACATTGAGTTCTTGCTTGCCTTAGGCAAAATGAACTGTTGCACAGCGAGATTTCCTACTATTACCCTCCTATATTTTGGCACTCCCTCTTCATCTCCATAGGGATCTTACCAAAATACAAAAGCAATAACGACCATCTCGAACCTAATGTGAGCAGACCTACATCGAGGCAAAATATGTTCATTCCTCCGCATATGGGAAAACACTATTTTATAGTAGTCTCAGCTTTGAACCAAAACCTCGTGGAGCTCAGATCACCGCAGATTCCCCAAATGAACCTTAATCCATTCATGTAACTGTTCAAGATCAATGTTTATATGAAATACTTTTTTCCTATTCTGGAAATAACTGCAAACAGTGGGCATATTTGTAATTCAGGACATTCTTGAATATATGGAACGGAAACTAATGATGAAATGCTACTTAAATAATTTTTCAGGGACAGAAGCAAGTGAAACAGCTAAATGGCAAAGCACATTGGTCTTACCTGAACACTGACACTTCCTTGTAGCTTCAGCTGCAATTTGATCATATCTACTTCAGCTGAAGAGCAAAGCTGCCGAAGTTCTGCAACTTTTTTACTCATTTCATCAATGGCTACCTCAATTGGGTTTAAATCGGTATGGTGCTGGTACATTACTGGAATGCGCTTTTTCACATATGGGAAACAATGTATAGCTATGGACAGAAACAAGTTTAATACAGTTAGAAAAAGGTTTTTGAATAAGGTGTTTTGATAGAATTTTATGCGGAAATCTCACTTTGATGTAATTAGTTGCCCAATTTAATAACGTGTTATACAATTAGAAATACTACCAAGTGTACAGGTAAACAAAATATTGCAAATGTAAATATGCACAGTTTCACATGTATTACAGCAAAGATAAATCATTGTCATTGCTGCTACTAATAACAACCAAGAAATAAACCATTGGCACTTAATTCATATGAGAACTGTAAAAAGAATTGCTTATCATCTACATATCTCAAAGAGGAGAAGAATCAAAACCAGCAAAGCTGTATTTTCTATTTCCTCACAAATATTAGCTATGGACAGCTGACATTATAAAGTCATTCAAGTTGTTTTTACCACTATATTAAGACAGTGATATAGAAGCTCACACTTAACAGAGACCAAACTCAAAATAGTCTTTTTCTAAGAATGAGGATAGAGAGACTCCAGATTCACAGTTCTTTAAGATTCACAATTTCTTTTGGGAAAAAAAAAACCCAAACCGATCTGAAAACCTAGTTTTGGCTAAAAATATGAAATGTATTTTAGCTGATAGCTATAAAGGACTTTAAGTGAAATGGAAAACCCCATACAGAACAGAATTAGACCATTTGAATTAATGCTTCCAGTCAAAGCGCAACTTGTTATTTGACAAATTCAGATTTACATGTGATACAGAAACATTGTCAAACACACTACATTTTTAATTATCTCCCTTAAAAGTATAATAAAATGTTTGGTACCAGTGAACTAATAAACTAAAGTTTGAGCCTATGGGTAATAGATGGGCACTCCCTCTCCCTTCTACAGCTAACAAATGAGAAACGAAATCACAGTGGAGGAGAGGCTGGAAATCAAACCAGAACCTGCCCTTCAGGATCTTTTAGAGCTTTTAGCCAAAAGAACCAATGCTGCATTTTACACATCCAATGACTGAAAGAATGCTGAAAAACCCCATACCCAAACCTGCAACCATAATACCAGCGTTCTTCAATGTTTTATAGCAAAGAGAGGTGAGCACAGGGAAGGGGAAGGGTAAAGGGAGAGATGTAGACACTCCGTTATTAAAAAAAAAACAAACCAAAACAAATAAAAAAACCCAAAAAAATCCTGAATAAAAACCCTAAAATGAAAGGTAGTTAGAACATAGTAAAATATGAGATTTACTCTTTTTCCAGTACTTAGTGGTTATGAAATTACACATATGTATATTCTCTGATGTTCATTTTTAAGTGTGTTTGCAGATCACATTTTTGATTATTACTTTCAAGTATGTACTCAGTTTAAAAGATTATTTTGTCTAACAATATTTTGATATACTTTGCAATCCTTGTAATTTCCAACAGTCACGTGTGAAACTTTCTAAAGGATTTTTTTCCTGACAAAATATACAACATATAGAAAAACCTAGTATCAAGAATTAAGTCTAAAAAACAAAATAAAAGAAACAAAAATAAACTAAAACTAAATAAACTAAAAAACAAAATAAAAAATTTCTTTTAAAGGAAATTTCAATCCAGTCAGTACCTGTCAAAATAGTCCGTCGCTTACACTGTTCTTCTACTCCTCCTTGTCTTTTACCAGCTTGAGTAAAAGGCATCTCAAACATAAAGCGACGAATGTTATGAGTCCTTTCAAAATCTGTTTTTCTTTCTTGCAGCTCTTTTTCTTCAAAGTATGGAATTACATGTGTAACTTGAATGTATGCATATTTCGAATCCAAATCCTTAGGATTTACCTGAAAAAGTGACAAAACCCCAAATAGCTACATTATGAATAAAGTGGACTTAATTGTAGTCACACAACTTTCAGAAATTAAATTTGGTCTCAACCTGTTTATTACGAAACAAAGGAAATGTTAATGCTCCTCTGCATTCAGTTTCTATTAGGAAGACAACACAGCTAGATGCATTACCTTGTGTTGTGGTTTTGTTTGTTTTCTAAATTGATATTTGCTATATGCAGAACTGCACAGAAAAATGTAATACAGAGTTTTACCCATGCTTAACACTGGAAGGCATAGAAACAGAAAACGCAGACACAAACACTTGTCCTCCAAGATAGCTGATACAACAGTAGTTTGGAGACCAAAAATTTCTAATGATATAAAAAAAGTTACTAATTAAAAATAAAATCCTGCATTGTAAAGAGTTCAGATATCACCATAAGAAGGCACTCCTCCCAACCTGTCTGCCTCAATTCTGACACCCTAGAAGGGTCCCAAAGAACATACCAGTGGGAGCAGGGCAAATTGAAGGCTTTGCTATTCATTTCATTTTGTTTCTATAACTGGACGAGCAAGAGCCTCATGGACTGGCAGATCTTAAATTTGATAAAAGCAGCAACCAGTCTTCAGCACCAATAGATAAGGTCTCCTAAGTCGTTGCCCAACGGGGTCCCTGAATGGACCAAGGATTTTTATTTTTTGTGAATTCCCCCAACCATGGGATAAAGAGGGCACCTTAAACCTGTGCATCTTTTAAAAAGTTGTTGCCTACCATCAAGTGTTGCCCACATCAAATATTCATGTTATCTCTGCCTGTCTCTGAGCCATTTCACCTCCAGAAACTAAATGGAAAAAACAATAATGCAAATACATACATGAAGTCACCAGGCAAGTCCTGGAGCAAACTGGAAACAGAGCTAAGGTCTCCCTGCTGCTATCCATTTTTATTGGAACATGCTGCTTGATTATTATTTTTTTTTTAAATCTAGTGTTTTTTTAAGATTATTATACTGGAACTTAAGTGGTAATTTATGTACTCATTCTGATATAGCTGATAGAAAATGTTCCCTATAAATGATGACAAACACATGCGTTATAATTAATTGTAAAGAACTCAGGAGAGTACACTGGAAGAGCTGGGAAAAACTGAGATTACAAAATAAATCTCTTGCTTTTTGTGGCATGAAATCTAGCCTTTGCGTAAGTCCTCCTCTCCTTTTAAAGTTCCAGTATTGAAAAGCTCACCATTGCTGCACTTTCAGGCTGAGAAGCAGAACTTTGTGACCTTACTGGTAGAATCAAGGAACAGAAGAGACAGTAAATTATAGCAAGAGAAAATCACCATCAAGTCTGAAGCCAAACAAAAGTTAAAAATTGGCTGAGGAAGGGAACAAAAGGAATGCAGAGAGGCATCTTGTGCACTATGTGCTCTTCTCTGCATATGGGATACTGTAGCCCTCTTCAGTTCACCAGTTTTGGAGCCGTCAATGACAAAGGAAAGCACTTTTTATGACAAATCTAGACTTCATCAGATGACGTTGTGTGAACATTTTTCTACAGCTTAAGTGTTCATAAAATTGAACAGGCAAAAGATAACAAGAACAACCAAGAACAACTGGTAGAGAACTGAAACGTTATTTACATATGGTACTTCTCTCAGAGAAGGGGGTCTGTTTCTTATTTCAGAAGAAAGTTGGGACTCTGCTCTGGAGTTGCAGAAAACAGAAAAATTCCAAAGAACGACTGTGCATGAACTGGCAAGAAGTATAGCTAAATATTCAAATTTGTTCCAAGACACAATTATTATTTTGAGAGGTAACACTATGAAAATTAAGTTTTTTGATTGTTCGTAAAGGCAAACTTAATAGTAGAGGCTATTTCTCACATGCCCTTCAAACCAGCAGAGTTTTTAGACACAAATGTTCATGTACCAAATACGTAAAGGACAGTGATCCCACAGTATTTCAGGTGGATTAATGGAAGCAATATATTAGAATTTTTTTAGAGATAACAAAAATCATACTTTGCCGGAATCCTGAATCATTTTGACATTTTCAGATCCAAATTTGTCAGAGTAGAGTTTTTGGAGTCTTTGGGAAATTTCTGAAAGAGGTGTGAGTTTAGGCTCTTTATAGATATATTCCTTTCCGTCTTCATCCTCAAAGAATCCCTGTTAAAAAAAAAAGAAGTAATCAAAATCTTGGGGAAAAAACCCACATAGGGCGACGATTAAGATGAACACAATGTGTGTGGTTCAAAGGAAATAGAAACATTTAACATCAGGATTCAAGCAAACAGAAATAAAAAGAAATTAAAATATAAGTAAAAAAGGTTTTCTCAGAGAATTAAAAAAAAAAAAAACAAAACAGAAAAATTTAATTATCTACTACAGAATGAGTGAAAGATAATGGAAACACACAGTTAAAATTTTAAAGGTTTGTTTTAATTTTATGGTGTGCCAAGCCTTTGAGATAACTTTTTTTCACTTTTATTTAAAAGTGAATTTTCAGTACTGTTTCACTTGCCAAAACAGAAATCTTGTTGCCCAGCAGGACTACCTGATTCACAAGTGAGTATTTTGGCAATGGATTACATAAAAGTAATCTGAAAAAATTCTTTATGTAGTACTACAAAAATAATTCTGGAAAATAAAATTTAATTTATGTAAAGATCTTAATTTTATGGTGCACTACATTGGCATATACTACTTTATTTTTCTTATATAAAGGATTTGTTTTAAACCCGTAACTAAATGCAACGTAGAGTACATGGAAAGTGAAACAGGTCATTGGTTTAAAACAAGCCATGTCTGAGTTCATGTTTGAAACCAGAAAATAAATATTTTTGTCATAAACGAAACAGACAAAATAGAAAAGCACAACATATCATGTATAAACACAGGCTAGATTGACAAAAATACCCACATCAAACTAAGGTGAAATGCAGTAGTTTTTACTGCATTGCTTGCTTTGTAAGCAGTTACTGTAATTACCTCAACATCTGTTTCACTGTCTGTAAACTGGTATTGCTATAAAGTTATAAAAGACAACAGAATACATGTAAAGTTATACTGCTCAGAGTATTTTACAATTCTCCATGCTCAGCTGAACAATTAGCAACTGGGCTATGCACGTAGAAAGTGTATTGATACTGCGTGATACCATACTGATACATATGCATTCTAGACATGTATTAGAGGACGTGAAGCTGTCCGATACACAGCCAGAACTTTTATTTGAAGCATGCAATACTGATGCATAGAAAAGAGTGAGCTGTTCTCTAAATGGGACGTAATGTTATTTTTTTAATTGCAATGGCTATTAATGCATACCAATCTAAGAAGCAGCCTTGCAAACCACACTGTAGCACTACAGACATTAAGTCAATACATTGCTAAGAACCGACATTATAGAAAACTTACCGCTGCCTTAAGGTAGTAAATAAAAGCAGAAAAAGAAAAAAAGGCAAAAAATTTACTGAGGAAAATAAGGAAGAATTGTATTGGAACTGATAAACGTTTTAAACTAAATTATTGATGGTGTTTAATTATTTCTTACAGACCATATTTCTTGTGCTTTGTATGTCATACTATCAATACAGATGATGAAATAGTATACCTTGTAAAATGAATTCAAGTTTTTCCCATTGCATAGAGCAGACAAATGAAAGCTAAATAGTACTCACCTGTCCAAAGAACGCTACCCTGAAATAAGTTCCCAGCAGTCTCTTGCCGGTATGCATAACTTCTGTTACTTTACTGTACGCTCGATGAAGAGTGTCATATAAATGAGCAAGCCTCTAAAAATAAAAGAAAACAATCACTGGGCAAAAGAAGAACACAGAACTTTCCTATCTTAAAACAACAATGAATGATGTCCTTGTAGTGAATAACTAAAAATATTGTTTTATTGAACAACAGTAATAGGTTTAGCATTTGTATCAGAATGCCAATATGTGAGATTATTTTTAATTATTTATATTTATTTAAATAAAAATATTTTTAATTCTTTAAAATTAAAACAAAAGTTTCAACACATTGATATTTCAGTTACAATTGTAATACTCTTGTTCTGTGAAGTGCGATGTGTCAGGTAGTTAAGACTAGAAAAATTAAGAATTTTTTTCTTGCTCAAAGAATTATGATGAATTTAGTACCTCAAAATCTCTCCGTTTTTCATAAATGGGAATTATAAGTTTATATATGTCAGCAATGAGTTCATAGCGTTCTGCCTTCCAGAGTCCATCAGCACACTGCTCCAACAATTCCATGAGCACATCCTAGATTTGGATAAACATTTGAAAAAGCAAAACAATTGAGTACTCATGAAAAGCATGGCAAATAATTATACCAAAGTTCTTCCCAATGAAAAGAGAAAGAGATCCTGCCTCAAAGCAAAATTATCTACACACAGTAATTTAAATTAGTGTGGCGATCAAAAATTGCTAAAAGGAAACAAACCAAACCAAAACAGAATGGTCTGAGTGTACACAGGTACTCTTTGTATTTACCAGGAACAGCACTTCTCTTTTAGATGCTCCTGACCTCTTAAGTCTATAAATGACACCTGTATGAGAACACAAACTTGTCTTACCTTGTAACATGTTTTTTTCAAAGTGGTGTTTCCCTGGGGTTTTTTGGTTTTGCACAAAGAGCATTATTTTAAAAAGGTAGCTATACAAATACTTGACTGTAATGGTTCTGAAGGAAACTATCAAATAAATTACATCAAGAAGATACAGTAGAACGATACAACACCAAAATCCGTACTCAGAGGTGATTATCAAGGTACAACAGTGGAATTTGGCATACCTGGCCCAGAATGAAAAGCTACATAACAACAGTTAGAGCAGCTGAGAAATCCTGAAGGGTGATAACAGAGTCACAAGCAAGAAAACACCCTGGCTTTGCTGGGTTTGATCCTAACACTCTGGTAGCAAAAGACAGTTATTTAAGGTTAAATAAGAACTATGCTTACCTGTATGTTAGAATGGATTCATACATTTCACATTAGAGCAGTTACATCGTAATTATGAAGTCCCTTCCTTCAGTTTGTCATAATTCTTTATTTTCCATGCATTTAATTTCTTCTACTTCAATAAGCGTAACAAAACTACGATAACATTATTACTTTGCTCTAGTTTTCATAGATTTAAAATTACCTGGGTAACTTCATTAACTCGGTTATAACAATTTTACAGATATTATGGAACAGCTTACAGCTGCTGTGACAAAGCTGTCATACACTTGGTCACAACTTCAGCGTGACAGAACCACAGTGAAGAAGCCCATTCACATCCACATAACCTAACAGATCCCTAACAGATCTCAGTCTTCTTCAAACATGTCTGGAGCCCCAAGAACCTCCACGAGAATCCAAGTCAGGGACTGAGAGATGTCGGAAGACATTGCATGTCTACTTCTTGAGACCTTCTGGTACCACTCTTGCATTGTAGTGGTGAAACCAGAAGTTGGAAATAACTCCTTTTATTCTTAGAAGGGATCCAATGCTACTCTGTTCCCTTCCTCCCTTTGGCAGAGGACTAAGACAGCATAAAGACATCACTAAGAAAAGCCATACTGAGAGCAAAACAAGACTGAAAATTTCTACACCTATCCATGTGCTGCAACAGTCTTTAAAACATCTCTTCATTTCCCCCAGACATTATGGGATTGTACAGACTCCCCAATATCTCCATCCTCAGCAACCAAGGGCAAGTGTAGGGTACTGCACCTGGGGAGGAATAACCCCATGCACCAGTACAGGTTGGGGGCTGACCTCCTGCAGAGCAGCTCTGTGGAAAGGGACCTGGGAGTCCTGGTGGACAACAGGATGACCATAAGCCAGCAATGTGCCCTGGTGGCCAAGAAGGCCAACAGCATCCTGGGGTGCATCAACAAGAGTGTGGCCCAGCAGGTCGAGGGAGGTCATCCTCCCCCTCTACTCTGCAGTGGTGAGGCCACATCTGAAGTATGGTGTCCAGTTCTGGGCTTCCCAGTTCAAGGAGAGGGCACTGCTGGAGAGGGTCCAGCAAAGGGCTACAAAGATGACTGGAGGACTGGAGCATCTTTCTTATGAGGAAAGGCTGAGGGGCTTGGGTCTTTTTAGTCTAGAGAAAAGGAGCCTGAGGAGGAATCTTATTAATGCTTATAAATATTTAAAGGAAGGGTGCCAGGGGGATGGGAGCAGTCTTTTTTCAGTGGTGCCCAGTGATAGGACAAGAGGTAACGGGCACAAACTTGAATATAGGAAGCTCCATCTTAACATGAGGAGGAACTTCTTTACTTTGAGGGTGGCAGAGCACTGGAACAGGCTGCCCAGAGAGGTGGTGGACTCTCTGACTCTGGAGACATTCAAAACCCGTCTGGACGCCGTCCTGTGCAACCTGATGTAGGTGACCCTGCTCTGGCAGGGGGGGTTGGACTAGATGATCTCCAGAGGTCCCTTTCAACCCTGACCATTCTGTGATTCTGTGAACGAGGTGGTGAGAACTGAAAGACCAGTGCCAGTGCTGGACCACAAGCGCTGCCCACAAAACATGGTTTTATGACAGACTTATCTCAGACACCAGAGGGCATCCAAACGCAGCAAAAGAGTAAAATGTTGTTTGCACGCAGGAAAAAAAACATAAAGAGCAAAAGCTTCCTGTGGGAGAGCTGACAGGAGGGAAGAAAAGAATACAACATTTCTAGGCCGCCTGTCTCAGTGCTTATCCATATATATTTTTTTCCATATATCCAATCACAGTTCTTGTAACCTGTAAGAACAGCCTCTTACTTTTTTATCGTGCACCTCTTCGAAGGGTCTGGCGCTTCCCCTAACCACCTCAGTATCTGGACTTTTTACAGTTTGTTGATATCTCCCTTGACTTTGGGGGGTAGGGTGGGATGGTGGGCAGCACTGGACACAAGATTACTGATGGTGCACCACAACTGTCAAGTAGGAGGAGGAAAAACCACTTCCCTCCACTATTTAACCCTATGCTTTTTCTAATACAGCCCAGCGTGCAGTTGGCCCTTGTTGCCACAAGGCTACACTGCTGATTCCCATCCAACCTCTTGTCCAGCAGAACTTCCAGGTCTTTCTGCAGAGCTGCTGCCCAGCCAGTCCATACCCAGCCCATACTGAGACACTGGGTGATTTTTTTCGCAGATGCAAGGCTTTGCACTTGTCCACTGTAGAACTTTGAGACGCTTCTGTGTTCTGTCAGTTTGCGGTCCCTCTAAATGGCAGCTCTGCCCCACGGCACATCAGTCATTCCCCCTCCATTTAGTTTCACCCACAAACTTGATGATACACTGTATCCCATGACCTAGATTGCTAATGAAGATGTTAAACAGTATCAGTCTGAGTATCCCTGAAGAACACCAGCCTTTACCACCATACTTATAGTATCTTGTATGTTTGGGTAAGCACCTATTTCTGTTTTTCATAAAGTGCTTTAATATATTGAATTACACCGCATGTTGATGATTTACAGGGGCTGTAAGAGCTGTGAAGCTCTTTCATTTACCAATATGCAAGTTAGAATAATTCTAGTCATAGCCAACAAGAGACCATAAAAACAAACAGGAAGACAGAGATTGACTTAGTATCTGTGGTGGAGCTGTATTCTGGCAGCGTTTACTTGGGAAAAAACCAACAAATCTGAATGAAATTGTTTCCAGCCTTAATCTGCACGGAATCTGGCACCTGCCACAGGCCTGTTAGCCACAGCTCACATCTCCCTCAGACAGAGTGCTTGCAGCAAAGTCTAGCACGGAAAGGATACCAGGTTCCAGGCTTTTATCTTCCTATTTCTGATACACAGAAGATTTTTAGTTCTGCAAGGAGAATTTGACTTGTACTGCTGAATAGGCTGTCAGGGTAAACAACTGTTTTAATGAAATGCACACAGTAACTTTGTTAAAAAAACCCAAACAAAATGATGTTTTTTCAATTGGCTAGTTTAGGAAATGAGTCAGGGTAACACTGGCCTGAGAGAGAATTCTTTTAAAATAAGAATTAAATTGAGAATTTTAAAAAACTCAATTTTTTAAATGAGAGACTACATGAAGTTTTAAGACAAATTTCACTTAATTAGGAAGACTTTATATAAACTGGAGAATATAAAAGACGTTTTGTCCCTTTTAGAAACATGGAGGGATCTCCCCTGACCCCCTATACTTGTAATTACTCTTTTGGAGATTTAACTCTAAAGTAACTAGCATCCAGGGAAATCCCAAGTTTTAAGAAAGAAATTCCACATGAATCTTGTTATCATGTAGAGGAAGAACTCCCATCAGAGCATCATTTTGGTGAGTAGCAGTAAAGTACAGCTTGAAAGATATGTTTCTGATTTCTGTACCCAGTTCATCTGTCATATTATTTTTTTTTGTTAGACTAATACTGCTTTGCTTACATAAGAACATACTGAGGAAACACTCCATATATGAATATGTTCCTATTCATGAAGTAACCAGACTACCTGTTTTGAAGTACTTCTGTAGAATACCCGTCCTCTTAATTTATCCATGATTTTTAGTCTACTAAAAACCAAACAGTTCTTCCCTATTATTACTCTTCCTGGGGTGAACTATAAGAAGTTATCTGGAAAATAGTAACTTTTTTCAATATTCAATCAGAGTACTACATGGTTAAGTTTAAAAAGGGTTGCACACAGGGAAAACCAAAATTTGGCAAGGTTTGATCCTTTTGCAAGCTCCACAGGCTTATAATTTCACTCTTGGCTTACTTCAGTTCCATGGAAATACTGAGAGATAGAAATAAATTTGCGTAGGGTTCAATGACCCAGAAAAAGGCAGGATATTCTTTTTGCTGGGGCTGACTAATGAGAAAATGAATAAAGACATTCCAATTTAAAAAATACAAAAGAATTTAGCTCTGACAAATGGTTTGTCAGGTAGACACTGGCAAGAATTTCTAACAAAAGTTTCCATCAACAGTAGTCACTAGAAACTCAAATCTTGGCTCACTGAGAGCAGCTTACATTCTGCTTTGAGTAACTTCCCAAATTCCATGCTGGATCAGAAAAATCAGTGATTTAAAGAACATAGCACATAAATTCAAAAAAAAAAAGCAATCTGCTATTGGGTGTCCTTGGACATAAAAAGCACTGTATTTCTCATTTCAAGTAATTCCAACTCCTGCCTTCCCAGAAACAGGCAAGTCAACAAATTTTGTCTTAAAACTATAGAGCAAAACAGTGCCAGAACTTAGGAGTAAAGCACAGGTACCCTAGGCCTAAACCCAGGCTTAAACCATGAAGTCTTTCATCTCTTCCTCCTATTCGCACAGTGCAATAATTTTGTCATACACCTTGGCCATATACAAACTAAAACACAAAAGAAAAATATTTTTTGTTGCACAATTATGCTTACACAACAGTGACTTTTCCAACACAGCTACTGCAAGTGTTTTTTTTCCTTCCTCCCTCCCTCACCTATATTGGCAAATATATAGTGTAGATGTAGCTCTTCACGAGCAAGATTACTCATAACCTTTTCATATAGGCTTCTTAGTAGTAAAATTCACTGTAGAACCAGCACAGATGGATCAGCAAAAACACAAGGACTGAAACTTAAGCCAGAAAAAAACCACCAATGACGCAAATCTCATGTCAGTAGAACCTCTTTCATTGTCATGGCGTATTTGCTTAAGGAAACTGTAAACCAGCAAAAGCCAGTGAATATATTTTCATGATTGCTGGTGTAGTAACAATCTAAATGAAAGAGAGTTTTAAAAAAACCCAGATCTTGTTAACTCTAATAAATAAGCCATATTAGTGTTCATCCGGTCAACTAGCTTAAAAACCCATTTTGCTTACTTTTATTCCAATAGTGGTGTTGAGTTGATTTGCTAGTGCTTTATTTAAAAATATATGTATATAGTAAATTCTCTCAAGCTGGGACAGCTCACAGAATTTTTTTATTTCAGTTTTAGGATAAGAATAGTGGCTAAGAAAGCAATTATAATATCCATCATATTAGACAGCCTCCAGATTGAAACACAAAACTTGGAAAAAACAAACAGCACTTCAATGTGCATCAATTCTAACACTCTTATGTTTACTTACTTCATTGAAGTGAACATCTTGCATTCCAACATCCTCCATCATTGAAGCCTCTTCATCTATATTAGGTGTGATTACTCTGAAAGCAGTACACCCTTGCCTAAACATCCCTGTCATTGAAAAAGAAAAAAAGACAAATCTATGTTTCCTCATCAGGATAACCTTAGGCCATTTTGTGATGCTGGATAAAGCAGAAGCCATATTTAAATATACTTACCACCAAATTAATAAATAAAAAAAATCCAGCCTCTTACTGCATGACTAAAATACTAGACCTCACATTACTGTGTAAGTATAAATAGGTTTTAAAAAACCACAAATATCAATATCTGGACTCTTACCTATCAAAATAAGTAGATCCGAATCTTCCTATTTTATCTCAAACTTGTGTCTAATCTACACCACCCTAAGTCTAAGGTAATCAAGGTAACTTTTACAGTATTTAATTAAACTGCCTTGAAGTCATGCTGGAACTGTGTACACGAACATGCGCTGGTATATCAGCCATGACTTCGCTTCATTTGGAACTGTCACGCAAAGGCAAAGCTAAAAAGCTGTGAACATGATTTTTTTCTGGCTACAAAAGCAAAACACTAGCTCAACAACATAATCGGCCTTAACAGATTTCTGAAATTTTCTTCCAGACATCTGTTTTTCTTGATAAAAGCCATATAATCTTTTATTTTCTCAAATCCCTGACTGAGAACTCTTCTGATCCTATAGAGTAGAAAACTATCTTTCATCTCTCTCAAGGGTCATTAGAAACTCACTTTTACAGACAGCTGCTAGCACAGACTACCAAGACAGGTGAAGCATTCTGAGCCTTATCACTGACTCAGCATCTCAAAATTTGTACAAATTTATTTTGACTTCTCTGCCAACGGCAGGCTTCCCTGTATGCAGTGAGAGACTACTTGCTGAACAGGAGTATTCACTGATAAGTTTGCTTTAGAAAGGGTCTGACTTCAGCTATTAGCAGCTCTGGTATAAAATTAAAATTTTTACTTTCTTAAAAATTTTACTTTACCTTCATCTGAAATGCTACCACTTCAATGTGCAAGTATACTCTTAAATGTGTGAGTATGCTATCAGGTTAGGTTAGAATTTTGTCCTTGGTGAATAATGAAGTGCCTACAACTTTCCTCAGGGGAAACTATTGCTTTTCCTAAACTATAAGGAAAAAAATAGAAACACTAAAGTAAGATTTCAAATCATACCTTTTCGCGTGAGATACTCTGCAACCAGTGCTGCTACATGGACATAGCACATTGCCGCCTAAAACAGAAATAGTAACAATTTTATAAATTACAGTTATAATGGAACTACTAAACCCAAGGTATACAGGAAGAACCCTAGCCTGAGATAATACGTTTCATTTTCCTTTTTGCTGCTTTGCAGCGTCCTATGACTGGTGTAAGAATTCTCCACCTCATTTATGCAAAACAATAACAGTGCAAGAGCACTCACTCCTTTACCAGAGCACTGAGTAGCACGGACAGCAGTACACAATCTGAGAGTGACCACAGATCACAAATTACAAGGCAGGAACACCATGCTATAATAAAAACAGGTGTATCTGGTTTTGGGATGTATTTTAAGTGTGATGTGAGCTATGAAGAGCTATTAATTATTCTACTCAAGATTTGATGGTTCTTTTGCTAACTGTTTTGTCTGCCTTTTGGCTCCAAACCAAGAAAAATGTAGAAAAAAACCCCTGGTGACAGACCATTTGAAAGCAGCAAAAGAAAAAGAGAAGAGATTTGACCTATGAATGGAATTTGAGGGAATCTGGTCGGTGCAATCCAGAAAACAGAATTAAAAAAAAAGAGGAACAGAGTAGTCTTCAAATATTTGAGATGTCTTATGAAGTTGACACTGAACAATTTTCTCCACAGGAAGGACAACAAAAAGACTCAAGATTTTTCTTTTACTAAAAAGGTTTAGGCCTACAGCAAAGTGTTACTCTATCTGTAATTCTCAGTTGAACAGTTTACATATGGAGATTGCAGCATCTCAGACACTGGAAGTGAAGGAAAAAGGTAAGTATCTGTTAGATGTTCCAATTCATACTTTCTATGGGGTTGGGCTTGGTGATTCACAGCGGTCCTCATCTAGTCATACAGTCAAAGATTCTCAGTTTTTAATCAAAAATTAAAAACAGACCCGAAAAGGACTAAAAGAGCTTGTCTTCTGAGAGAGCTTAATTTGTTTCCTTCAAAATACAAGCTAATAACAGATTATTGTATTTGCCTTCTGTGTTGCTACCATATAGAAACAAAGAATTCCAGTACTAAGACACGAGTAAGATAGCAGCTACTATTTCCTGGAGATATTTACTTGCTTACATAATGCTAAGTTTAACAGACATGTTTATGAAATTCAACGATGTAATGCAACGTGATTTACTTTCAGATAGAACGAACTTCCAGAAAGAGACAAAATTCATTCTGTATGCTGACAAAATACTTATATCAAGACATAGAAAAATCCCCACTCCCAACTCCCATTTTTGCTAGAATTAAGTATTTTAACAGCAAAGTGAAATCAGATAGCTTTCCTTCTTCAATCAGAAAGATTGCAATTTGTCGATTTTGACAACATTAGGAGTTTTTTAGTAAGCAGTCTGGAATAGAAACAAGCTAATTCTGTAAAGGCAACTGGAGAGGAATTCAAGGAGTGGCTGTGTTTTTACAACTGATAACAAAGATATTTTTAAGTAGAAGGTCTGTGTCTTCCATGGTTTGCAATGAGCATTCCTGGCTTAGTAGTGTGTCAGCTACAGTAGTTAAACATACATCTTACATAACTAATCAGAAATGACTTACAGATGGACTTGGGTAGGACAAAAACTTATCAGCCATTGAATCTAATCTACTAACAATTCAAAATTTATTTAAAATGCTTATTATATTACACACTAACAACTACATATAGTACATTCCATTTCAAGAAAGATAAGCTTCAGCTTATTACGAAGCTAAAACTAGTTTGATTTTTTTCTCTTACCTCTGAAAGATCTCCATTTTTAACATGGATCCTTGCCATGCTGTCTAACCACGTCTTCCGTAGTTCAGGTGTACTAGCATAAGACTTTGCCAAACTGTACTGGAGGTCTACAAGCATTTCTGGATCATTCTCATGCTCCTTCATCTGAGCTGTAGCCATCAGTACTGTACGAATCCGTTTTGTTAAATCCTTAACATCAGAAGGGAATGTAGTGTGCTAAAACATGGAAAAGTTAGGTTAGCTATCTTTTTCTATTCTTTGCATAATAAAAAGTTGAAACATAATTGCATAAGATGCTATGAAAGAGTTTTCAAGCATCCTTCTACAGTATGGAAAGAAGAATAAAACCAGACCTTTATAATCCTGTCATTATTGGCACAATTATTGATGATGGAAAGAGACTGCTGAAATCTAGTTCCTCCAATTCCAACAACATCAGCAATTAACTGGCTTACTGAAATAATAACCTTGACAGAAACAAATGTATTGTTAGTGCATATTTCCTGAAATACCCTTGAGATGTACCTATGAAGCAATTACAAAGGATTATTCTCTTTAACTGAAAGATTATTCCCATAATTAAAATGATATTTGATTTTTTAAAAAAGTTATTTGCACAGTAACATAGGCAAGAAAAACCAGGCTTGTGTAAATTTAATGTACACACATCCTCTGCTCTAAAGACTCACTGCTAGGTGAAAACTAGTCAGAGGTCATACAAGTAGTAAACTATTGTTCCCAGCTTTGTCAGAACACACAATTGTCAATGTATTTGTTTTATTTTAGACTTTTCCATGCTTTTGCTGCATTGTTTTCTTCTTCAGATGCAACATTTAATAATCAATATCTACAAAACAGAACATTTGCTACTGAGAAATAAAAAGTATTTCCTACGAAACACAGGGCCATCCAATTGTTTCTAGGTATTTCCTTGTACTGAACACACTTTTATTGACATCTGCTTACTCTAAGAACAGTACCAACCTTGCTTGAACCCAAAATAATTTCTTTTATGTCTTTATCTGACAGGGCTTTGCACACTGGTATGCAACTGTGCATCTACGAATAGAATATCTAAAAAATGAAAAATAAAGAAAGTATACTAACTTGCAGATGTGTCCTAACAAAAGACTTCTTCCCTGTGTAATCAAAATTATTTCTCATTAAGAAGTACAGTAACTGTGAAGCTTCAGTACGAATTGAACTCAGTTTGGAATTACAATACTTCAGAATTTCATAGCAGAGTGCAGAACACATATCAGCTCTACCTTCATAAAATGTAGAAGGAAACTGAGGAGAAAGTAGAAAAGAAAAGTTATTCATTAAAACTAGCTTAAGTTCTTGATAAAATAAGCACGTTAAGAAAAATACAAATATATTAATATTCCAAAACTGGAAAAAATACAGTTATAGTAGTTCATGATACAAAAGGGTTTTTACAGCAATTCAAAGGACAAGTATTTCACACTGTTGGGATCAGATCAGTTTTAATTTGGGATTTTAGTTCTTAAAGTTTTACATAGCATGCTGTTAAGTAAAGAACTGGATAAGTACTTGAAGATTAATTATTTTTAAACTACTTACCTTGAAAATAAGTGCCCTTAAAGCTATGAAGACATTTTTCAATGCTGTTTCAGACTGATTCTTTTGAAGGAAGCAGAGGTACACATCAAATACTTTCTTCATCAGTGGATTATGCCCATGATCAGTCAGTAGTTGATTCTTTAAATTGATAGTGAGAATTTAGGAGTATTGTACAGTGATACATTTCTACTATTCTAAGAACATACACAGATCATCTAAAAGCAGCAAATTAAAACCAAACAAACAAACAACCATCTGCATAGTATTACCAAGATGTTTAATAATACAAACTGCATTTTAATTAGATATTTCTAACATTTCATTAATCTTGCTTATAAAGAAAGTGTTGGCTTCTGAATACACTTACAGAACACAATTGTTTTTAACAGCTGATAATTAAATCCATTACTATTAATAGTTCTTTGAGAGGCACACTCAAAGTATTAATACAGTTTGGTTACAGTGGCTTTAGCAGCTCAGACAGTGGAATTTTCTCATTGCAGGACCTCCTACTACAATGCTCTCAAAAAAAACTCCCTAAAACCAAACCCCCACCCGCTCGCCATCTTTCATTACTGTCCTAGAACTGAAATTGAAAGGGCTCTTAAGGACGAAGATAATAGTTACTTTTCAGAGTTTAGCCTGCATCAATATTCCAGAACTCATTCTGAAGCATGCAATACACAGGGTTACTCTTCATTTCTGCATCACCAACAGCTGCCTTCCATCCAAACTTTTTTAAAAAATCTAGTCTCCATCAATTTCTCTAGCACAGGTTCTGGCTGTACATCTACTTTCAACAGTTCACATTGGTTCCGTTTTGCTTTGGGGACCCGTTTTCTCCCTTTGTCCACTGAGCATATGCCCTAGGTTTCTATGGGACTCTAGGACAAAACCATGAGGTCTCTCCCTTTACAAAACACCGTAACAGGATAATCAATTCAGGGACTGCTTAATCCAGTCCAGGGAGTCCAGAACTGAGAGGACCATGTTAAGTATTGCTCCTTCTGACTCCACGGGCCCTCCAACATGATAATACCAAGTCTTGCACCTTCTGCAACTCCCCTCTGCACACTCCACTCTTCCTTCTCATCACTATATACAGGCATCCAAACGGTATGCTGCAAGGCAGTTCCAATACTATCTCAAGTAAGTTTTAAGGTAATATTAACTCAAAGAATCTATTTTAACAATTGTGTAACAAAAGATTCTTGAGGCCCAATGCAGACCTGGAGTCTTGGAGCATGCCTTAAGCTCTCTCAAGCATGAAAGAGACATCTAACTGCAGATGTCTCTTTTTGTATTCATAGAGACACAGAAGAAATTCTTCAGGCTAAAGAATTTCAGCATAGCCCTAGGCATTTTGGGTGTTCTCGATACGAAAAAATTGAAGGATACAGTCCTCCCATTAAAAGCATTTCTGACAATGTGACTTGCAGACCAGATGAACTCAGTGTGGTTTCAAGCTTTGTGGATGAATAGATACAAATACTTGCAGGAGACCAAAGATCTCCAAATGTCAGGCAGTGAAGCCACAGGCAGGCCATTTCAGATGAAGCTAGACATAAATGGTTGGATATAAGCCAGTCAGACTATTTGGTCATCTTGGAACAGTATACAAATCTCTGTAGATGACCCAAACCTAAACATCTAACTGCAAGTTCTAAAAGATGGTAAGGCTTACTCCTTCCAGATTTATAGAAAAATCATGAAACATTGTCTTACAAACCCCTATCTTTATAGGGAAATTGATACAATAACCTTTCTTCAGATGTCCAAACATCAGAGGTAGGTAGTTCATTAAAACCACCTAGAGTAGTAGGAATTCACACAGGATCAGTTAAAATTCTACCAAGAAACAGACATAACTTGTGATTTCCCTGCTGTAGATAGATAGATAGAGATAGCTAGCAGAGAGAGATAGATAACAGAGATCTGGATCCTCACTAGTGAAAGATGACCTTGAGGAAAAAAGTTGTCTGGCTTTCATGCTAATTCTTCCCAGAAGCAGCAAATTGGTATTACTAATCTAGTGGCCTTTATGATGGAGTGACTGCATCGGTGGACAAGGAAGGCCTATGGATGTGGTCTATCTGGACTTCTGTAAGGCCTTTGATATTGTTCCCCACAACATTCTTGCCACCAAATTAGAAACATATGGGTTTGATGAAGGGACCGTTAGAAGGATAAGGAATTGTCTGTATGGCTGCGTCCAAAGAGTTACACTCAATGGCTCAATGATGAAGGGGAAGCCAGTAACAAGTGGTGTCCCTCAGGGGTCCATACTGAGACCAGTACTATTTAATATTTTTATTAATGACATAGACAGTGGGATCAAGTGCACTCTCAGCAAGTTTGCAGACAATACCAAGCTGAGTGGTACAGCTGACTTGCCAGAGGCTTCCCTGTAGCATGCCATCCACGGCACGAGAAGTGGGCCCATGTGAAATTCTTGACTGTGAGGGTGGTGAGACACTGGATTAGGTTGCCCAGAGAACCTGTGGATGACCCATCATTGCAAGCTTTCAAGGTCAGGTTGGACAGGGCTTTGAGCAACCCGATCTAGTTGAAGATGTCCCCTCCCGTGGTAGCGGGGTCGGACTTGATGATCTTTCAAGGTCCCTTCCAACCCAAACCATTCTATGAGTCTATGTATTTTAGTGCAGTTGATTGAATAGAAGCTCTTAATTCTCCTGCCTCTTTTGTTTGGATCTTGTAAACTATTCTGATACACTCTTACCTACTTTCTCAACATACTATATACACCTAACCTTGAAGGACTGTCTTTCCAAGCATGATGGGCAGCCGATAACGAAAAGATTAGTGTTCATTCTTCTTTAAATCTTTAAAACTAGGTATTTCCATTTTCAATTCTGTCAGGACAGTCCGTGGACAAAACTGGTTCTAAATTCTATCTAATTACTTTACTAATAAAAGGAATCTCATTATAAATAACCTCATGTTTTCATAACTAGATTAAAGATAAGACACTGAATTTGAATCTTCAAGCAAGGATCTGGATACACTGCTCTAATTAGGGGAGAAACTAGCTAGAGCTGTCATCTCTCCTTTTCATAGGTTCACCCTTAATGTTTGGAAAAGCTCAAAAAACCAAACAGGAGGGGTATGTAAGTGGACATGCTATAAAAAGATTCCACAGGAGAGCTACAGTAACTGATACAACTAAAAAGAAGTCTTATTAGTGGACTAACTGAAATAAAGTTACAGAAAAGGAACACACACAAATTCCTGTTAATTAGTGAGTGACTTAATGTAGGAAGAAGCCAAGTTCAATATAAAAGTCTGGTAGTGTCCAATTATGAATTATGATTTTCACAGAATGATAGGGGTCGAAAGGGACCTCTGGGGATTCATCTGGTCTAACCCCCCCTGCCAGAGCAGGGTCACCTACAGCAGGTTGCACAGGATGGTGTCCAGGCAGGTTTTGAATGTCTCCAGAGTGGGAGACTCCACCACAGGGCTCCACTCTGGGCAGCCTGTGCCAGTGCTCTGCCATCCTCAAAGTAAAGAAGTTCCTCCTCATGTTTAGATGGAACTTCGTATATTCAAGCTTGTGCCTGTTACCTCTTGTCCTATCACTGGGCACCACTGAAAAAAGACTGCTCCCATCCCCCTGGCACCCTTCCTTTAAATATTTATAAGCATTAATAAGATTCCCCCTCAGTCTTCTTTTCTCCAGACTAAAAAGACCCACAAGGTCACAAGGGCACATTGCTGGCTCATGGTCATCCTGTTGTCCACCAGGACTCCCGGGTCCCTTTCCACAGAGCTGCTCTGCAGGAGGTCAGCCCCCAACCTGTACTGATGTGTGGGGTTATTCCTCCCCAGATGCAGTACCCTACACTTGCCTTTGTAGAATTTCATAAGGTTTCTCTCTGCCCAACTCTCCAGCCTGTCCAGGTCATGCTGAATGGCTGCACAGCCTTATATTAAGAAGACACTAAAGTTTCTAGAAACATTTTTAGAAAGTTAGGATGAGGAAGGAGCTTTTCCCATAAATTAGTACTGATCAGTAAGGAGTCTGCGTGCAACGTACAACTGAAGCCAAAGCATTTTGCTGTGAGAGGTTATCAGCTTGTACATAACACAATAAAGATATACAATGCTGGAAATGATAAAAATACAATACTATATTACTAGACTATAAAATATACATATAATTTTAAAATATTTTTGAAAAATATTTTTCTAAAATATAATTATGGGAGTTGATAACACCAAGTCAAGAACAAACCTTAAAAGCCATTGTGAATAATGACAGAGTATCCAGAATTGTAAGGCAAACTTCAGTGGCAATATTTGCTTCAAGTAAAGACTGGTGAAGAACATCTGCATCTGAATGTCCATAGCCTACAGAAATTCCAAATGAAGTATAAGTTCTGGATATACTCATTTAAACGTTTCTTATTTCCAAAAGACTTGCTGAACTAGGAAAAGATTAACAAGTAAAAAGCCTGACAGAAGTTAGTATTCAATACAGAAAAATAATTCATATGCATTTAAATATTTTTCAAATATGTGCATACAATTATTCTAACATAATTAGCACAAGATCATAAAATATATCAAGTACGAATGTCAACAACAGAAGTATTAAATAGCAGTTAAATCAATAAATGTTTGATGTTTCATATATATGTGTATATATGTATACACATGTGTATATATATATGTACACAGTTGTATATATACACATATATTCTTAAAATAAGTACTGCAGTAGGATGGAGTTACAGCTGAAAATATGTATTGGTAATTCAGCAATGTTATAATGATCTCAAAGTCAATCACAAGTCAACCATTATAAAAATACAAAACACTAAGAGTTGGAGGAATACAATCATGTACTTACATGCAGCTGAAGACCCAAGTAATTAATTCTGCTCTGTAGCAACACCATGCAATAAGTCCATATTTAATCAAAATAATTTATGGCCTCTAGCCCCATACTGTATTTAAATAATTTTAAAAAAAATATCCTGCTTCAGCACTGGTTATAACATGTTGTTTACATTCCCTAACATTGATGTTTAGGAACCAGATTGACAAATGTACCCAGGTTGCTTTATAAAAATTTGGTCTGGATCATGTTTATATGTTAGATTTACAGTCAACTTAGCATCACTAAATCAATAACAAGCATGACAAAGTTGTTGGGACCAAGAAAAGACAGAAGAAATGGCATATTCTTTTATAACGACACTCGGCCGCTTCTATCTGCATCTTCTTGCTTCCCTGGCTGAAGTACACACCCATACCCATAATGACCAGCTTCTTTGGATTTAAACAATCTTTATGCTAGGAAGTATACATCTCTTTCCTACCATCTTTTGCATTCTCTCTGTCTCTACCTCTTCCTCCTCCCAAGTATTTTCTTTCTGGTTTCAATCCAACTAAAACCTTCACCTCTGTAATGACGGAAAGGAACAACTGGCATTTGGAATCAAGTTTTAACCCAAGAGCCATTTGCCAAATATTCTTCTTTTAGTAAAAGCGTTCTTTTCCTTAAAAAAATGCAAAGAAAAATCTTTTTTCATAGCAATCACCAGAAATCCTTAAATTAGCCTGTGGTTTTGGTAATGCTGAAGATACCAAGAGATGATGACTATTTTGAGAACTGCATTGAGGACAGGGGAAATATTCTTTAAATAAATAATCTGTTTGCTCTTTCAGTTAAGAACAGTGCAAGGTTTATTATAAATACTAAGTAAAAACTGTAGTCACTGGACAAGTTTCCAGACAGTTCAAATTTTGTTCTTCACATAAGTAATTTAGAACAAACAAGTAAATGGGTCATTGACTGATTACTCCACATTATTACTAGAGACAGAACTTTTGTGTAGGATGTAAACTTAAAGGAAAACTCAATTAGGTTGAGTTAAAAGACTGAATTAGCAGTGCCTTTTCCATATCCATGCTAAAACCTATGCTTGTTTCTATCTGCCATTATTTTAGAGAAGCTAATATTGTATTCATCATGTCTAACTAACATACTGGAGTCTATTTTTCACATGTAACTTAAAAAGAAACTATGGAACTACAATTACCACACATAATATGGACACCTGCCTGGACATGCACATGAACATGCATCCATACATTCACACTACTGCAGAGTAACTGGATTTAAAACCACCTAAGAAAACCGAAAATGGGATGATCTGTAATGACTACGAGCTCGACAATGATCATACACTGCTGTTACAGATCGGGGTATATCTCCTGTATTTCAGTGTGTTTGCATGTCAGTATTCTACTGAGCATCCTCCTCTCCTCCAGTGCCAACTATACACACATAAATCTAAGTTCTTGTAGTTGTATTGAGATGCTTTAGAAATGAACAAAGGGCCTAATTTCTTTCATACTTAAGCAGAAAACTATACTGAAATTCCTCAGAGATGTGACATCTCACTTCAGTTCTATTCCTTGCCTAAATGATTAGAAAGGAAGAAACTAAGTTTATACTTTACATTTATAGATAACTATCTTGTCAAAGAATCATGATTTTAGAAACAAGTAAAGCAACTATTTCCACCAGATACATCCCTCATGTATATATCCCATACATGATACCTACAAAATTTATTCAAGTTCCGAAACCTACTTTGGATACACAATACAGGCAGACTGACAACTAAACAAAAGACAACAACAAGACCAAAGATATGAAAATCAATTTCACATTTGACACGGCTTTTAGAGCAATGTATTTTCACTTTGCAAAACCTTGGTCAATACAAGCTGTAATATCCTGATATTCTTTCAATGCCCAACTTAAAAAAAAAACCCCCAAAACTATTATCACTTTATGCAAAGTTATCTGAATGAGATACCTTCCTTCATAATTTCCTTCAGATGGAAAAGAACAGAAAGGTTTTTTTTATATAAGCATGCATTTATTAAAATCTTTCAGCTCACCGTTTCCTAAAAATCAGTAAACTTTGCCAAATTCTAGAAGTATTAAATATCTTTTTACAGGGTCCAGAAACACCCATGTTATTTATTTCTCAGAGATTTAAAAAAAAATAAAAATCAGTCTTTATCTACAAAGTGTTTTACCTTACTGAACGTGTAGTCACATAGTGTAAAAGCTTTCTTTTTTATATCAAAAAACTTCTAGAAATTATTATGATAAAGTAGTAGCAGACTGATTACAAGAAAAAAAAAGTAATTGGCACAGCTATATAATTTTCTGACACTTAAAATCAAAGAATTGCATTTCTTATATTTAAAAAGGCATGAGAACACATTTATAAATAGAGAGGTTTCATAGATTTTTTTTTCCAGTTTTCCACTAGACTATGTGGTAAGTCTTGTGCAATTATGCTAACTGTTGCTTTGCATTAGAGATAACGAGCTAAAAGATTTTAAAGGACAGTTAGATATGCTTTGGGAAATAAAAGGATGAACAGAGTGAACATACAGTTAATTCAAATAATTGCTTTCCTGCACACAATTATTTTCTATACCAGTGTTGTATTTTACTGGATTAGTCAACCAGTTTCATTGGTTTTTGAAGCTGAAAATTGAAAAATAGTGCTTCAGAATACTTTTTATACATTATATTTTGCAATTTAAGAGCAGCATGTTTAAAAAGATAGGCCACAAGCAGATTTAGTTTTCAATACAGCAGTCTTACACAAGCTGACTTCAACCTGATTAAATCTTACCATTGTCTACAGAAATTCCAAGAATACTTGATATCTTTCTCACACTGAAAACAGAAAAATCACTTCATTATTGGACGCTTTTTCACTTCCAGACAAACCAAATCATGGGCTTCACAATCTCTGTAGAAATTCTAAGAAATTTATTTCTCCATAGGGGATGTCAAAACATGGAGATATGGTCAGAGTGCATATTTCACTTTTAGGCTACTCATTTATAAGACCAAGTGGGGAAAAACCCCGAAGTTTAATAAAGCAAATAGAAAAAAAAAAAAAAAAAGTAAATTTTGTAACTATATGCAGCACAAAGTTGAAGTGCATGTAATTTAAAACAATTGAAATACAATGTTAAAATATGCTGTAGTTAACCATGCTCCATGTTATGGCATCAGCCAGCATTGATTGTTCTATCATAAAGCAGGGAACAGACCATCGACTGATTCCAGTTATTTGTTTGACCTAGAACAATAAAAGTCATTGAAATGCACTGGTGTGGCTCTGGGTCCTGTCTCTGGTGTTGTGGTACTGGTTGAGGATGACGAATGTTATCATGTCATGAGACTTACTGTGGTTAAAAGTGAGAGAGTTATCCAGGCTGCTCAGCTGCTGCAATCTGGCATGCATCATTCCTGTTCTGTTACGGGAAACAGGCAATGTCTGAGATTTTCGATCATGAACTATGGATCCCAACCCCTCCTGGTTCCTGCAAGATGGGTGAAATGGGATAGAAGCAAAAGTTAGACATGTCAAACTGCAGCAAGACAGGAAGTGTTAGTTAAGCACAAGAAGTTTTATAGAAAGAATTATAATGTAACCTATTTGCTGTTTTATTTATAAAACAAAAATAGGTAGCTTAAAAAAAAGCATCACAGCAAACTCTTTCTTAAAACCTCAAAGCATGAAAGCAAAAGCACACAAGCAGTCGCTCTTGAAGTGCTAAATTTACTTCAGAGCTTTTGAAAACATAAATATTTCAAAACATAAATATTCTGAAAATATTCAGAATGCAAAACCAAATCCTCTATTTTGATTAAAAAAAATTTAGAAAAAAGTTAGAAAGACACACGGTGGTAAAATTAGAAAGCATACATGCAACAGGAGAGCGGGAATTAACTGAGGTATTATCATGTATATCTTACCCAAGCAGGAAGGGAGAAGAGCCATATACTTTGTTAAACTTGCAGCAATCAAGTGAAGAAAACAGAAAAGTGATCTGTGTTAGCAATCAGTACAGGCTAACTTCCTATTGTGTACCACCACCAGAGCTGATGAAAAATGAAAACCAGTGCTTGAATTACAGAATTCCCTGTTCCCTTTCATTCTCTGTCATTTGTGTATTTTCAGAGTTCGCGCATTGATTGTGATATACTTCAGTGTAATGACAATGTGAAAGAGCAGAAAGCCTCATTTACTGGGAAAATTCAGTATCTCCGCAGAACACCAGATGATTTCTATAGCTTAACATTTTTAGCGTTAACATGCAGTAGGCAGACTAGGTGATCAGTAAACAAAAAGGAAGTATGGTAGTCTTCTCTACAAACTAGTCAAACAAATTAGTTTGAAGAATTTTTTACAAAAAGCCTGAAAATTAGAATCCTGTAAATCCAGAGTTTGAAGTACATTTAAACACAAATTTTACAATCAAAACCTTGAGAAAGCTAAATTTATTTTGGCCTTTGATTTTTTTTTTTTTTAGGTTATGTGAACAGAGATGAGTGGTTTTTCTGAAAAATCTCCATGGAGATAGTCAAGTTTGTTGTTTGTAGACAAAGATTCACATACCATTAAAATCTAGATCAAAACCAAAAAAGCTAACATTTTAGTCAGAATGCTTTACCACCCAAAGTCAGCAACAACTTTCTCACTGAGTAGAAGAGGGCCAGTATTTCAACCCCACAAGTTTAATTATAACAACGTTACTTTGTCGACCACAGTGTAAGGCCTAAACAAGTTACTCTATTAAAAAACTACTTTGCATCAAAATCCACATTACTGCAAAGATATTCAAATAATTTAGTACGTGTTTCTGACTCCGACAGATTTTCTCCTAAACACCCTCCAATGGGAACGTACAGGTATCTAACGGTACTTCAGATCTCACATTGGAACACAGCAGCGTTGGAATGTTCACTACTCACCTTTCAGTAAAAACACTATATATAAAATTTCTAAAACATTTCAATAAATGTGGTTCTGTGGCCAAGTGAATAAACAAAACAATTGAATCATAAAATTTCTTCCCCAAAGACATTATTTCCAAGAAAACAATGCTGTAAGATAGCATTTAAGGGGTAGATTTTAAAGTAATTGATAATAAACACAACACACACACATCTTTCTTAAACAGATACCAGACTTTCAGACAGGATACTGATTTGTTAATATAGTAACCAGTTACTTACTTCAAACCGTTACGTATCCTTTCACAATAACACTTGTGCAATTTATTTGTAATAGAGATTCAAGGCATACTGTACACACTATTATTCTTAGTGAACAAGACAGTGAAATTTAAATTCCACACAGTACCTGGCTATGTATCGTTTTCCCATGTACTGGAACTGATGTAAGCATACTCTGCAGAGAACACATAAGTCAGAGAAGCAACACTTAAAACAATCTCTTCTAGATTTATTTACATTGGAATTATTCAACTATTATTTTGTTTAACTTTAAACTCTCACATCATAAAAGGTCTTTATTTCTCCCACCCTTAAAATTCCTTTCCAGTTGCTAAGCCAAGAAAAGGTAAACATGGCTCTTCTGAAATCGGTCACAGATGGTTGTTGTTTTGGGCAAATTGGGATTAACAGCAAAAGGCATGTAAGGCTGCCTCCAGAGCACACCTATCTCAACACTCTGAATCAAAACAGCTAGTGTGAGTCTAACAGTGACACGGTAGAAGGGCCAAACAGTGAAAAACAACCAAACACCTTAGAAAACTGTAAAAAGTAAGTTCAAGTGCTTCATCTTGTATAGATTTTTTTAATATTTATAAAGAAGAAATGCTTAGCCTCAACTATCATAGGCAAAATTTCATCATGTGAAATGAGGTCCACAGTTACATGTATTTACAAATGAACAGCAGTCCAGGACAAGTAACACGAAAGATGGAAGTAAAGAGATAACCAGACATTACATACACACACTTTGCAAAATGCATGTAAGGGTTCAAAATAAAGGCAATACATTTTGCTTTTTTTCCTACTTGGCCTAAACTCTCTCTGTTACAGCTTGAGGTTTTTTGTTTTGTTGGTTTTGGGTCAGTTGGTTTTTTTTTTGGTTGCGTGTTTTGTTTGTTTATTTGGTTTTGGTTTGGGTTTTTTTTGTTTTGTTTTGTTTTTTTTTTAAGGTCTCCAGAGTCCAGGTCAACAACAGAGTTTCTGACAGAACTATTTTCTAAAGGGAATCTGCTTTTACAATAACAAGATGATAAATGCAAATCTCCAAGAATATTTTTTCATTAAAAAAAAAAATCTATACTTTAAGATGATGCTTTATTTTACAGAATCGTAATACCAGTAGGTTCAGATCTAGCAAGAAAGTTGAACGTACAACCTAATTTGGCAGGTGCCTCTGCTTGTCTTCACAACTGGTAAGTACACAACACTGATGACTAATAAACTAGAAGTCATGCTTTCAAATCAAGAAAAATGGTGCGAATGGAGGCTGTAATAATGACTCTTTTCCCACTGTAAGTAATTATCCTAATAATTCTGAACCCTTAATGCAACTTCCTTTGTCCCGTGGGTAAGAATATTCTACAAGTTCTTTTTTAAAGTGTAAATCCAAACTGAAAGGCAGTTTTCAGGGTTTCTTTTCCATGTGCCAGTTGGGAATGAGGGAAAAGACGGGCAAACAGTCTCTCCAACTCAGCTCCATTTTGTCCTCAGACCTTAAGTAGATTAGCTGTCTCCAAACTGTGGAGTCAGAATGGTGTTTGCCTCCTCCAAACTCGTCACTCTATTTGCAAACTAACCTCAATTCCCCCTTCTGATGTCTTCTTGTCTTTTTTAGATTCTGAGTTTCTCAGAAAGAGTTCTTTGCATAGCGAATACCTACCTAACAGAAACACTGTCTTACTGAGGTAATGAGAAACTACTGTAATGACCTGTATTAATAAAAATCATCACCAAACCAAACATTATTTGCATTGGCAAAATATTCCTAGAGTTTGAAGAGGCAGACCTTTATGAGCCTTGTTCCTGCTTTAGTTTAAGGAACTGTGATATCATCCCCTGCACTAATGAGATGGAAATTTTATTCTGTATTCTATACCGCTATTGTGGTGGAAAACTTTGATAAATAGTAATTTGAGATTACTGATTTGATCACAAACCAATCCTATCCAGCCCTTAAATAAGAAGTATCTAATGGCAAAATACTGTTCACCACCGATTCTGTACAGTTTACACCACATACTTCAGAGACTCTACTAAGAAGGCTTATTTACTTGTTCAGTTCTGTCTCTGGTACAATCAGTTATCATACCAGATGTACTCAAACGATGAGTTAAAACACTATCTACAATATATTCCTAAAAGAGACCTTCAGCAGCACATCCCATAACACAATTAACAACTGATATTGCATTGATTGAGCCTCTACTACAGAAACAAAGGAACGCAGTCCAGTGAAACAAGCCAGGCAAGCAGAATGGCGTCTGTGGCACACTGCTTCAAGCAAAGAGCGCCTTCCTCACTTTTCATTAATGCATCAGTCAGTTTTCGTGAACAAACACACCAAGCGTGCATAGGGATGGAGTGTAGCCATTGATAACAAATACTGGATGCATCCTATATCTTTTCCCTTACAGAATGGCCGAAGACCCAAGAGGAATGCTAGGAGGACGGTTCACATCCCTTTGCTTCTGAAGTTATGCAATTCAATGAATTTTGATATGCAACCATATAATTTCAGCAGTTCACGTTACAAGTTGCATTTTAATGCAGACAGGTAACAAGACAATTTGTTCCTTTTCGATGAGCACAGCAATATTCTGAGGACCACTCGTTGTTTAGAAACTTCCTGAGATCAATTCTGTACAGCCTAATTCCAGAAACTATCATGGAATTGGAGACCCATGCAGTTGTGCACATCAAGTTAAGCACTTATAAAGAGATCAAGATGAGATTATTTTTTCAAACAAATAAATAAAAATGTATATACACACTTTATCCACGCTCATGTTTTTAACAGCATAGCAAAATGTATGGTTTTATGACAAGCTCAACAAAAATCTTACTCTGTAATCGTGAAAAAGTCCATGAGTTCAGATTTTGTAGCCTTGTTCCAATATGTAAACAATGCGTCTAGGAAAATGAAAAACATTAAAAACAAGACAAAAGGCAGCAAACACACAAAAATATTAAGTAGAAGAGTTAACATCAGTTCTTAGTTTTCAAATAATGAGTCAGAGAATCTAAAAATGGCTTGTGGGGTAGGTAACTATTACTATTTAAAGTTTTCCTTGAAGCTGATTATACAAATGCACATACCAGTTCTCCAAATGAATTTCTACAATTGGCTTTTAATTAATCCATAATAGTCCTATACAATTTCATATTTTAAATAGTTTTAATTGTATACTCAGTAGCGAATACAGTGTTCTAAAAATCCAAGACTTCAGAAAACTTTGGACTGCTGATCCTATAAACTGCTTCTCTATAAACTGGTCTCATCGTTTTTTAAAATGCAAATTTATGATTTCTTCTTTTTTAATTTACAATGCTTTACTATGGATGTTTTTCAGCAAAGGTTTCAGATTTTCTTTATTTGCATAGATTTCAAAAATGGCTATATATATTCTACAAAGCTTGTAATTACATAGCCAAGGCTTGGTCTTTTTTTTGCCAAAAATGTTCAAAATTAGCTAACAAATTCAAAATTATTACAGAGAGGCATGGCAAAGTTTATTTGACACTTGTCAATTTCCAGAAGAATTGAGATCAAAAAATCTCCACTGTGCTTATGTAAATTTTAACTTGAATTTCCTTGAAATATATAAAAATTAGTCAGAATTTCTAAGAGTAAAATGGTAAAAAAAAATATTTTTGCGGGTTTTTTTATTCTTTGTAATTAAAATACATAAAATAATATTTATGTAATTACATGAAAATCTAATGGTGTGACTGCATATTTAATACTTATTAACCTTTTGATTCTCATTCTTGATTAGGTGGTGTAATAAATTAGAGTTCAAATACTACATAAACTTGATTTTTAGCAATTAAGATGAAAATAGGCACAGAAAATAAATTAACTACTTTTAATATGTTTAGCACAAACTGAAAAATTCCATGTTTTTACCAAAAGGGACTTGCCCTCATTTTAAAATGTTGATCAAGGATAGGGATGATTCTGAGTTGTATGATCCCAGTAAAAAATTAAGATCTGCTCTTCATGCAGTATGTCTATACTCCCACAACCTTCTCCAGGATAATATGACACTGTCAAAAATTCACTGGATCATCTCACAAACATCCCTGGAGAATGAAGAAGCACTAATATCCCCATTCCAGAAATTGAAATACACACAGCAGTCAAATCATTTGGTTCCCTGTCATACAGGAAGTTTCGCAGAATGGAGGAATGGACTAGCAAAGACTCTTCTACTGATCAACAAACTATTCTTAACCTCCATTTTCCAAACCAGACTGTACAATCACACACAAGTACTTGCTTTCTTACCAAGTCCTTCAGTTAGGCTGACACTTTGAAGGAATAATGAGTATTTAATGCTTACAAAGTTTCAGTCAGAGTTTAATTTGAGCAATTACACATACCTATAAAACAAAGCACAACATGGTACCTACCACCTAAAATACTCTGCTGATTTTGAAAAGCTATTAAAACCACAGGTGTAAATCCAAAACATGATTTCGAATTTATGAAAAATAAGTGGAATTACCTACCTTCTGACATACTTCTTAAAATATGAAGGAAACACATGAGCAGACTTTTGATCTCTGCTTGGTCAAGTTTGTCATATCGAACTACAGAACCTCCTAAAGTGCTGCTCTGTTGGTTCTGAAAAGAAAACAAACATATTTTGGCTGAAGGCTGATTTAAACTGATAATAAACTAAAATGTTTTAAAATGCCTTATTAATTCCTGCAACAGAAAAAGGATCTTGGAACAGAGACAAAAAATGTTTCATGTAGAGACAGGTCACTAAAACACACATTACACATGAGAAGTATACCAAATTAAGCCTCTTCACCTTTGTTTATTTTTATGCCCTTCCTTGTACGATATTTTTCCCCCAGAAGGAGGAGTAAGAGGAAAGGTTACCTAACAGTGATTACTAATCAAGTTAATTATACACAGATACCCACATTGTAGAAATCAGGCATGCCCTTTCTGCTTAGATGAGCTACTTTAAAAACAAATTCTACTGTTAGGTGATACATATATGTTCCTTTGCTTTTGAAGAGACTTTTATGCTGAACTGTAGACAGACCTGCCTCTACAAATTTCTTTCCATTTAAAGATGTAAGAACCTCAAGAAAAACATATGAATGGCAAGAATATGCATTCTGGAAGACTAACTACTGATAAGTAATTTGCCTTTGTCTCAAAAAAAAAAAAATTAAAAAAAAAAAGTCTTTCTCCCTGCTTCATTTATTTATACAATTCCTACACTTGTGGGAAGTTAATCAGCAATGCTCAATACTAAAGTCTGTCCAGAAAGAAAAAAAAAAAAAAACCCAAATATAACTGATTTTTTTTGTAGTACACATTTTGAAAGAAGAAAAAATAGAAC